AATAGAGTCTCTCTCTCTCTCTCTCTCTCTCTCTCTCTCTCTCTCTCTCTCTTTCTGCAACACAAACACACACACTCTGTAACACAAACACACACACTCTGTAACACAAACACACACACAATGTAACTCACCAAAGTGAAAAAGGACCTCATGTCGTCCCCACCAACCTCTACTCGAGGTTTGGCCATGATGTTTGATGGCAAGAACTCATAGCCATTACAAACCTGTTTGGTCGAGTTGTATACAACTCTCATTTTCACAGTTGGGTTAAAAGCATCCAAAACATCTCCTATCACCCTCTCAACACTGAGAGGCTCAAGCACTCTGGCCATGATTCTAGAGAGAAAGAGAGAAGAGAGAGAAACCCTAAAATCCTTGGCAAAAAGACTTGAATGCACAAGGAGTGCACCAAGAGAGAGAGAGAGAGAGAAACTCTAAAATTCTTGGCAAAAAGAGTTGAGTTGAATGCACAAGAAGAAGTGCACCAATGGTGAAATGCATTAAGGAATGGAACACATTATATGCAGTAAAGCCCCACAGTTTGAGTGTGATTCCAAAGTGCTGTAGCTTGTAGGGGATCTTAATTTAGGCTAATATCAAGTTTGAAAGCATGCAAAAGGACAGTTGTGTTGTCAAATGGGGAGAAGGGCTTGGAGAAGGTGACATAGGGAAAGGAGGAGTCAAAAACACTTTTTCAAAGCAAAGCAAGCAGCTTTAACATGTGAGAGGGACCTTGATTGTACAAATATTTTATAGTGCAAATATTTTAGAGGGAGAATTCTATCCCTAAAGGATATGGGCCTTTAGGATTGGGGAATAAACACATTTTTTTTTTCCCTATTTAATGTTATCCTATTTAATGGGTTCCCTCTTTTAAGGTGCTATCTCTTCCCCAAAAGAAAGAGAACATTTTGTCCCTCAAAAAAGCCATTTAGAGAGAGGAGATGGACAAATGTATGTGCCATACTTTCTAGCAGTTTGGGTGATGAGATGATGCATAAGGAACAGATACCCATTCATTCAGTCATTCTTGAACTGTAGGATGTTGGGTACTTTTGACTAGACAAAATTATTAAAAATCCCTGCAAAAGTTTGTGATCGAGATTTGGTCGGATCGGATCTGGATCTACTTGCATCCAGATCTGATAGGATCCAGAATATTCAGATCCAAATGTGGATTAAAAAAGTATACATGGGATTTGGATCCGGATTTGGATCTGATCGGATCCAAAATTTGTTTTATATGTTATTTTATATCTATAAACTAATATATAACCAAAAAATACATATAATATATATGTATATAAAATAATATATAATGTTTGAATAACTGGGTTGGATCTGGATCGTATCTACATGTACTTGGATCCGGATAGGATTTGAAACAGGTTGGTTTTGATCCAAACTGCTTAAATTCTCAGCCCTAATGGATTATATGTTCTCTTAGGAGTATACTGTAAATTCACTATCTCAGCTGAAACCCTTTCTAGGAGGATTTTTGAGACACCAAATTTTGAGGTAACCTCCTCAACCTAGCAATCAACTCAAAAAGCAGAAAGTCATATTATGTCATATTTGCCTGAAATAGCCCTAAGTTTGAACAAATACCATTAGGTTTTTTTGACAATTGTAGGAACTCAAATCCTTTATTTATTTTTTTCTGGTAAGAATATTCATTTGATGATTTTAAGTTGGATCACAAATTTTCCGACGTGAGAAAACCATTTTAAGTTGGTATTTTGCCTGAGAGAATAAGTGTATAGTGTGCTCATGTGCGGAAGTAGAAAAGGAAGCATGGCGGACACAAAAAAATCTTGCCCTTGAATTTGGTTTTCGAATAGATATAAAAGAGCACCATCGTGATTTCATCTTTACATGATTAGTAGGGCTGGCAATGGGCCGGGCAGCCTCGATCCAGCCTGGTCAACCCGTGGCCCAAGGGCCAGGCTAGGGTCAGTGCCCCCCGCCCCCGCCTCCTCCAAAAAAAAAACAACCTTTTTTTTTTTTTTCCTCCATTCGTTTTTGGCCCAACTCAGCCCTAACAAGGCTAAAGCCGAGCCTGGGGCGGCCCTATGGGGACAAGGGCCGAGCCAAGGCCAAAACCGGCCTGTTGCCACCCTTAATGGTTAGACCTTTTTTGGGTGGGTCACACTCTATGCCTTTTCTCATATTTAAACTTCTTTGAGCATGTATGCTAATTTGCTAAATGATCACCAATTTCTACTTATAGATAGGAGAAACGTCTCCTATGATATCCAACGCCTTCTATGCTAGACGGAGCTATTGTCACCATCTAGATAAAGATAAGAGGACATTTTGTCTGATTTTTCATGTCACCTCACCTATCTCTTGCTAAATAAAGTTATCAAGTCCTTCTAGAAAGAAAATATATGAGCTGGGAAAGGGGCTCGGGTCGTGGTGGTAGCATTCTCTCTACTTTCTCTCTACCTTTTATTGATAGTGAATAGTGAATAGTCATAAAAAAACCAACAAATGATGGTATAGCACTAAAAGAAAAGAGAGGTATAATACTAAAAGGAAAGTTTGTTGATGAGAGGTTATACAACTACTCTAAAAGTTTTTAACAGTCTTAATAAATTAACAACTATTACTTTATTTACTAAATAATAAAATTTGAGTGTATATAGGAAAATGCCCGAGGTTAATTGGTTAGCAGCTACGTCCAAAGCTCAATTTTTACCGATGGTAGGGTTCCTCCTCCCACTGACTCAGAAAAAATAATTTAGCTAAAACCTACTTAGGAAGATTTTCTTGATTGGAAATTTTTTGGGATCCATTTTAGAATACCAAATGAGTATCTTTAAAAAAACCAAAATGGATTTTGCACTCTTGAACACTTAGAATAGATCTAAGCAATTCAATTTTTGGACAGTTTCTATTTAAATCTAGGAAGTTATTTTTTTAAGCGAATATGGTATGTACCAATTTTCCTCTTTAAGGTACATCTCCTCAGGAGGTTACATCCTCAAACTTGAGGATCCTAAAACTACCCAAAACTTTACCTTAAAAAGAAGTAATGACCAATAGGATAATAGGTTTTATAAAAGGGGACCGTTTATATAAGGCCGAGGCTCTAAACAATTAAAGTAAGCGCACCTTCAAATAGTATCGAGAAATGTGGTTTTAATGCTGAAAATCTTTGTGATAGCTTTAAAATATATTTTTGTCTTAATTATAAAATTTAAAGCTTAAAAAATAGTGTAGATCAAAATCTTGAAAATTGATGGTCCAAAAATGCATTACAAGATGCACTATGTCCAAAACTTGAAATTCAATTTTTTCCCCATGTCCATCTATCTTGAGATGATCAATTTAAGGATATTTAGGCATCAAAACAACCTCTTCTAATGAAATTTTTGAGGTGCTCCCTAATTTGATTGTTTAGAGCCTTTTACTTATATAAACTTTTTCCTTTATAAAATTTGTTTTGTTAAAATCCACGTTTCCTCTGGGCCCGTGGGTTTTTGACACCTATTTTCTACACAAAATCTAGGTTTTTTGAAACCCCAAAATAGGCCGATTTGTTGATTAAAGAAACTTGGTTTCTTCTTTTTTTCCGCCTGGAAGCCAAACAACCCCTAAATGACTAAATGTACATTATGCCCCCAAGGGAGCATACAATCTGGCATAAAGTTTAATGTGCATATCTTGGGCTTTTTTTTTTGGAGGGGGAAAAAGAAAAAAAAAAAAGAGAAAAACACAAATAGCCAGCAGCATAAAGTAGAAGAGAAAGAAAAGCTCCCTTAATGTTGGTTGGTCCCAAAGAGTTAGCAAGATGCAACACAAATACTAGATTTGGAAAAGGTAAGGAAAAAACATAAGGGCGCCGTTTGTATAGAGCCGAGGCTCTAAACAATCAAATTAGAGCTCATCTTCAAATGGTGTCGAGAAATATGGTTTTAATATTGAAAATTTTTGTGAGAGCCTTAAATTATATTTCATCTTTAGTTACAAATTTTAAAGCTTCAAAAATAGTGTCGACCGAGTAGATCTATAAAAATCTTGAAAATTGACAGTCCAAATATTAGTTACAAGATGCACTATTTTCAAAACTTGAAATCTATTTTTTTTCTTATATCCGTGCATCTTGATGTCAAGATGATCAATTTGATGATATTTGGGCATCAAGAGAACCTCTTCTAGTGAATGTTTTGAAATAGGTTTTAATTTGATTGTTTTGAGCCTAGGCTCTATATAAAATTTTCCCAAAAAAATAATAAAACTAAAGCTTGACTTGTGAAAGAATAGGTCTCTTGTGGCCAAATGATTGGGCCATATAGAGAGAATAAAAACAGGTGTTGCCATGGTACTTGTTCTAAACATCCGGTACACAGAGAACAAAGCTAATATTCTTTTCATGTTACATTGTGTTTTGAACTTTGAACTATGAACGTAAAAATGATTAGAGTAGGGGACGGGTCAAAAAATTGGACCTGGTGGGCCGGGTTGGGATCTAAACATTGGGACCGAGAAACATTGGACCCAACCCGGATCCGACCCAAATAATGTTATTATTTAAATAATATCTAGTATATAATATTTTAACATTATATGAATAATATTTACATGAATATAATAAATATTTGAAATTATAATATTTAATATATATATAAATATTTTTTATTTTTATGTTTGGGTTGGATCTGGTTCCGTAATTTCTTTTTGGGTCTGCGTCCGGCTGAACACATAGGAAGGCAAAGAATAAGGAAAGGTTGTAACAATAAGATGGTCTCTTTTTTTTTCCAATTGGTAAAATGTCAGAGGTCAAAATCCTTTTTCAAAATTATTAAGGCAGAAAAACATATTTGTTTATCTTTTAGTTTTCATTTCAGGCAGGTAACTATTAAAATATTTATGAAAAAACTACTTAGATGGTTAATGTATAGGGTTGGGATCCTTGAACAAGCAAATACAACCATATAGGATGAGAATCCATGCGTGCTCAAGATGTATCAAATTATTAGGGGTGGGAACGGGTCGGTTCGGGTCTGGACCGACCCAACAGGACTTGAAATTATTGGACCCAGACCTAGACCGAATTGAACCCGACTGGACCTGAACCCAATTGTACCCAACATAAAAATAAAATATGTATATATATAAATATATTTAAATATTATGTTAAACATAAACATATATTATTTAAATATTTTAATGAGAAATATATAATTTAAAAATTATTAAAATATTATATATTAAATATTACTTATATAATAATGATATTTGGGTCAGGACCAAGTCAAGTCCACATGGACTGGGACCCGGACCTGAATAGTATTTGAGTCCAATATTTGAACCCGGACCCACCAAC